TTATAATGTAAAGTGATAATATTCATCAAACACTTAAATGTAATATAATTGTTTATTACGCATACTCTAGGAACAGATGTCGGTGTACATATTTATTTTAGTTAGAAACCTATGACTTCATTTATCAGATTTAACAACAGCTCTTTCTAATGTATGGTCTACAAAAAATATTGACGTATTGGGGGGAGGTCGAGATGAAGTATTTCATTAAACAATAATCGATATAAATGTGCAACTGTACCTTTTCCCCAATATATTCTAGGTAAGTCAATTAATAATATCAATAGCGGGATATCAGCTAAATTTGGATCTTAGTGGAACGCCTGCAGCACTCTTAAAGTTCCCTTAAATCCACTCGCCAGTGATGTTATAATAATGTGTGTTCTCCCAACATTGATGCAACTCACTTCTTGATATCAGTTTCCTGAATATGGCAAAACATCAGATTATGTGACGTTTTTATCTGGGAGTCCAGTAATAGAGACATATAGAAGTGGGGGATAATCAACAGATATATGACTATATCAACATTGAGATTTGACAAACAATATCTGTTACACTAATTTGCATATAAATCCAAATAATATTATATATACCTTGTCTGCCGAATGATTGTGTATAACATAATATATAGTAGAATACCATGTGATTGAAATTGATAATTAGACAAGGTATATTAGGAGACCTTGAGCGTTTTATATTGAAGGTTCGACACCCGAGCAATATAATGCACTTCCGGTTGGTGTCACATAACGCGATCTACAGGTCTGTGTGTGAAGTGTGGGTGATATCTATATATATATATAGATGGCGTGCCACATTAAAAAACATGCTGTTCGGCGTTTGATTTCATTTAGACAATAGCAATTCACATCCACATAGGAGTAAATTTATGCAATTTAAATTTGCATATATTGCATTAAGTTAGGCAAGCGATCTGTCCATAAATTATAGATGGGAAAATGACCAAACGGACAATAGAATAATGAATGTCTTTGCTGGGAAACAATTTTATCACACACGATAACCGTTCATTGCCAAAGTGCACACCATAAATCAGCGGGAACAATACTTGTTGAATGCCGCAAATTATGCTACAAATACAAACCAATGTAGCAACGACAATCATTACATGCCGCGTGTAATATACTCGGCGGATCAATCAAAGGTGAACTTTGGCCTCCATTTAAATGGTTAAAACATGCCATTGACGTTGAATATGCCGCCTTGTCGGTAAACAGGTAACGCTGTAATTGAATATGCATTTGACATGCATTAGATATATCAGATACCCTTTTTACAAGTGCACGGCTCTGCATATCAACGATGCCCCACTTTCCATTCTCTGAATTCCTATAAAGCTATGCATTCACTCGGACTAGCTATCGTTCACCTTACAGAACACGCGCGAGTGCTAAAATTAATTGCCATGATCGCAAGTTGAAAACAAAGAGTTAATTTCAACACGTCGGTTTTTTTTTATATTTTTTTAATAAAGTGACAAATCTGTGGGTATTTGAGAGTATTAATTTATTCGCGACAGCTGGACACTCATTACTATTCCCTATGGTATGTGGGTACTATACTTGCTATTCGAAGGGATTGGCCAATTATTCCATTTAACTTCATTTTAATAGAGTTGTTCCACAGGTTACAGTTCACCCACTCCTACACCTCTACAAGCTACGATGCCTCTCTCTCGTTCATCTGACACATAGGCTACTTTGTAAATTTGAATCACCACCAAAGACTTGTTACGTCTTGTTTCCACCACTTAGTTATTTTCGGATCAATGTTAAAACTTGTTAGTTGTTTGACACCTAACGTATAGAAGCCAAGTAAACGTGTAAACGTATTAACAATTATGAACACAAATTCATTATTATTCATGTTATGAAATATTTCATTTTTGTACGAATAGTAAGCCGCAATGATGTCGACGAACAATTACTTATCACGCGCATGCGTGGAGTGTGCCATGCATATTCTATCCAGAATATACCATGTATACCATTGTATATCTTTTATTTATGTTACAGGAGTCGGCGAACCGCGTTAGACATGGCAGATGTCGCTAGTAACATGAGTCTGCTTAACTCCACTTTTACACCGAATGAAGAGGATACGGGGAGAAACAGTGCTTGTGGAGCTGATCCGGTTGTATTTTTCGCGCTGGGAATCTTTCTCGGAACAGTCGGTTTGATTGGCAATTTGTCCTTCATGTTTGTGGTTATACGCGTGAAGTTTATGCAAACTGTGACCAACCATTACCTGATAAATTTGGCAGCGGCCGACTTGGTTTACCTACTGGTCTTGTGGATACTCTACGTATGCCTACTGGTCACCGACAACAGTTGCGTACTGATGGTTAACCCGAACGTACGATGCATGGTTGGAACTCTGGCTGATATTGCCGTATTAACGTCTACGTTCTGTGTTGGCTTCATCAGCATCGAAAGGTACGTAGCGATAACGCACCCGTTCCGGGCACGTCAGATCTGCACCAAGGGCAAAACCCTTTTCTTTAACATTTTGATGTGGATAATGTCTGCTGTTATTAAGATACCTTCCGCATTAGTATGTTACGTGGAGGCACCAGCGTCAGTGTACGTTGCCATTTACATCATCTTCATAGTTGTATGCTTGATCAGTATATGTACCGTGGCGATTCTTTACAGCTTAACAGCATACCACTTTAAGAAAGCCTCGAAAGCAATGCGTGATGTTGTTGCCAATTCGTCGAGACAGGCTCCAAGCCACGATAAGCAAGTGGTGCGCATTTGCGTTTCCACCACTGTTTTGTACTTTATCTGCCTTTTCCCGAAGGAGTTAGTTTTCATTCTGCAGCTTATTCTCCAATTCGGTGAGATTGAGCCGCCACCGTGGAGTGTGTGTCTTCATAACATCTCTATACTACCACTGATGGTACACTCGGCTGCAAATCCTATTATATACAATGTGATGAGCACCAAGTATAGGCGTGCGTTCAGAATCGCCTTGTTGTCATGCAAGGACAAAACCAAGTTAAGGGGGGACAAGACATTCTATTCGCGAACGAACAACTACGCCACGGAACGGTCAAGTTGCAATACTCGCGCTTCTCCGAGAGTCAATCAAAGGAACGTGATTTACAACAAGAAAGACAGTCTATCGGACACACTCCCTAGAACTACATCGATATGATATCAGATACTAATTAACTTGGCGTACTCAACGGGCTATATGGCAAGTTCATGACCGCTGTTCCGGAGTTTACTTTATAAGATGGAGAGCTTACTTTCTGAGTCCACAGCCATGTGTTTGGACATGAATTGGTTGTTTTATTGTATGCCCATCGATCCATTCCTTTTAGCAATGGCTTGATTCGCGTGTCTCATATTTCCACTGTGTGACAAAGAGCTTCATGTGTCAACTGTGACAATTATCTATTCCGGTGTGGGTATTTGTTTTTTATAATTCCGGCACGATACACGTTGAATAAGATACTATTCAATTTAATGCTTGATTACATGAATTACTCAACTAATTTTATCGCATATACTCTCCCAGAATCCTAACACACTTGGTACGACTGCCGAGTAGTGGTATTTTAAAGAAAAGTAGTTAAGCAGCTTTAGCGGCAACTGTCTTGTTCTTTGTGGAACACGTGATTGAAACCTTATGATGCTACAAGGCTAATGCCGTCTTAGGATTTGAATGCGTGGTGCGTAACTGAACAAACAAAGACTCTCTTGAGAGTGGTTTTGACGTGCATTGTCGGACGATGTTTTCACAAAAGGACTTAAACTCATTGCCATACTTATTTACCCTTGATGAAATGCATTGGAAACACCTGTACGTTTGAAAAGTGAAATACCTCTCATGTATGTCGTTGCCCCGGTAACCATCGGCATGATATCGTTTTAAACTTTAATCAGTGTTGTTGTAGACGGCGGTCGATTTGCGTATATAATATTGAACCGTGTCAAGGATATTATATGCGCATAATACATGTCTGAATAGTGATTGTTTTGTTTTTCAATTGTTTTCGATTATCTAAAATAGAATAAAATTGAATTATTCATAGTAAATTCTTTTTGTGAATGACGATGTTTTGTGTTTAAAATGCTGGTACATCATTTGTACTGCCACATACAGCGCCGGGGTGAACGCAAATGACACGACACGCGCCCACGTGTAATACAAACACGCGCTCCTAATAGAGTACGGTAACATTTGTTTAACTGAATAAAATATAGTTTGTATAATTTGAGACAAGAGACGGTAAAGTCAACTTCCTGTCACTTATCTATACTGCAGTTCGTCGCATCAGTTCATTGTTATTGCTAAGGTTTCGATCTTCAATTATCAATGTTTAAAGACAGGTAATGCCAATTTACATTTACGCAGAGTAAGCCAGGTCGAAATATTATCCTACAAACGAAAATCATTTGAAAGTCTTTTTCGATATTGCAGCTATAAGCCTCATATGTCTTGTGCAACTAGTTATCGTTATGTGTAATCAGTCAAAAGCATAATATTCTGATTAAAAATTTAATATAATATAATATAATATAATATAATATAATATAATATAATATAATATAATATAATATAATATAATATAATATAATATAATATAATATAATATAATATAATATAATATAATATTTCTGGTAAACACGTTATCCAGATTAATCATGTTCTCACGAGACAAGCTGCTAACACTACGGCGGTCTGTAACTTGATACGTAATAAAACAACAAATGTTTTCATCAAATGTTTTGAGCCGATATAATTCATTACGCGTTGCTGGGCACTACTTGGTCATATATCACACCAGCAAACGTGACTGTATACCACTGACAAGAGTGATAAGACAGAGAAGGGTAAGAACAACCGATATGTAATCAGCAATGTATTTAATAGGATTCGCCGTTCACGTAATTACTGACTGAGCGCTATTTGGATCTCCCTCTCAAGTAATATTTCGATTTCTATGCAGGCTGTATACTCGACTTATTTTTTGATTAGATAAATGGATACTGTCCACATTGACATATGCTATATAGTCACATAAAACTAGAAGCTGTATTTTAATTTCATTAAATCTGTAAACCAATAGCTATTGCTTTTTTTTTCACTCATTATAGTCTGAAAATATATGTTGTTTCATTCACTCCGGAGTCGAGTTTGTTTGTTTTTCTTTCATAAAGTCCATTAGTTATGGGGAACTATTCGACTCACGAATTTGAAAATATATATATGAAATTAAAAAGCATTGACGGTTTTATGGATTGCCGGTTATTCACAAATAATGCGTGACTGCTTTATTTTATTATTTGAATGCCGGTATCAAATATATTACATTTAATCATTTTGACTACGAATAAGTGTTTTTGCAGCTCTTTGTCTGTAGGTACTCTCGATATTAGTATAGCGAGGGACATTCAATTGTATTCGTCAGTCGTTTCGTGTTTTGTTTTCTGTGGGTTTGTCTTCTTGGACATGTAATACCACCTTGAGGATTATGACTGCGATATTATCTTTACTATGCAAAACTTGGGAATTAGAGGCATTTTAAGCACCCGCGAGGTTCCAGTCAGTTGACTCAGTTTGGCGAATTACAAGCGGTACATTGCACAGACCAGCCATGCATGCGTTGCTACAGTGAAATAATAGACGCTAGTTTGTAAAGCTCTCATAGACAATTAGACTGACAAACGGTTCCAAGCAACTGCTTGTACGAACGCACCGTGATGCCAATCATTGAGGTACATGATAACACACATCGGAAGAACTCAAGTGTGCTTTGCATCGCTTAAAAGAGATAATTGTTTCCGGTTAGCATTCCATTGACACTTGAGTCATCGGCGGCCATGATAGATTGTCTAAATGATGAAATATGACGATAATTAGCCATACCGTGTCGTTGTTCATGTAGTCAAGTGTATTTCATTGTAAGTTAAGACCTGTGTTCGATTGAATAATCGTGGGTTAATACAATACAACAGCAATTTCAAACCGGAAACACTTACCCAATTTATGTCTTATTATTTAATGAATGACAAATATTTGTATAACGCTAATTACTCTCAACATAAAGTAACTACTAATGAATTTGACAACAATGAACTCAGAATTGTCGCTTTCCTGTTTTTTTCTTTTGCTTTTTTTTTCAAAGAACCCTAATACACATTCCATTTGAGATTTATCTAATCCCATTGGTTTTCTCACGAGATACAGACGTAAACATTCCCATGGGCCTGTCCATATGTATATTGCCATACTGATATGGCACATGAAAATTAGGAATTGATATATTCCACGACAGGTCGACTTGCATTATTTGTATACAGTCAGCCAAGAAGTTAAATACCTCAGGATTACCTTCTAATGGTATCCCACACGACACAAATCAAGCCTGAAGGATTTAAGTACACACACAGAAGGAAAACGCAATGCATATTTTCAACGTGAACGAGTCTTTGACGAGTACCATTGACAACACCCCACAGCGTCGCTTAGCGGGCTATTTAATATGGGAGACATTGTTGTACAGTTTTCGAAATTGTTAGCGAAATTGTTATATTTTTGGAAAACGTATCCCTCATTTATACCAGAGAAGACATATGTATCGTTTGTTTATTTGTTGCGAGTCGCACCTTCAAATAATATAACGGATATTCTTTCGCGCTGTGCTTTACACAACGAACGTCCGAACTTAATATTGGAAACGTATTCAATATATGAAGTCACTGCATCGGCTATCAATGCATAGCATGGTTTACAGATTGCCCCGTCATATAGTTATTAGAGGTTAGCTCATGCGTATATAAAAGCTTACCCGTTACAGACTGCATTGTTTGGTATACATTTTGTTCGGCGATGATATTAAACATAGGTATTATTGCTATAATCCCATCTTACTGTCACTGAATGAGAATTTACTCGACGCATGACTTTGATTTGAAAAACATTCACACAAATACGTATGTTGATACTAAGCACTGATAAATACATGATAACCAATCTAATGTCAATGCCTATTGTACACGGGAAGGCCCACCAACAATGTAACATTCAACTTATTTCGATACACGGATAGACCTGCCTAGCAAGATGTATTCAGTATATATTTAAAATGTTCACTTGATTTCAACAATCCTAGCCATTATACGTATTATAGATCACGTGAGATAATTGAATGAGCATAGTCATAGCAACATATGTTTAGTTATCTTAGCAACGTACTTAGACCCGCAAACACAATGACTTAATTAAATATGCCTCGGGTTTTGCCAACGAATTAAATACTGAACCGAATATGTTTGGTTGTCGGGGCAACAGAATATATTATTTTCCTCTGCCACCGGTTCATCATTACTGCCATGTATCCAAATATAACACCATTCCATTAATCGATCTGAAGTATCGAAGTTTCTAATTGACTATAACAAAAATATATTGTAATGGGCCCACCAGTTTTGTTTGCACGCACGCATGTGCGAGGCGATAGGGACACTGAATAATCCAGAGCTACTTAATCCCCTCCATGCTTGGCAATGACGCGACTATTGTTTACTAACCTATGTTGTAGGTTATGGGTAACACATGCGTTGATGTGACAATGGATATGTTCAGAGGTATTCATAGGTATTTACTCAGTTAAATGTCAATCCACAATGCAATATTGTGCCGATATAGCGTCATGTGTGTATTTCATGTGTTAAGAACGGGACTGTATGCACGTCAAAGATCTATGCATATTGCCATTGCATACACGGATGAATGTTGTCAAAATGTTAGGCATTCAGTCACTATTGTAGAGGGGCGGACTATGTGGTATGGGTGATCGTACATCGGTACTGTTACTGAAATCCAAATCTGAGATCATTATATATATCTGGCATTAGAGCTAGGACACGAGTATTAAAATAAACTACACAATGGGGAAGTAAGAATTGTCTCATTTCAATATTCCTCTGATAAGTTTATGCTTTAGACATTTGGAACTCTGTCACAAGTGCAATTGATAGATGGTGGCGTCATGCACACATTTAAATGAATACGTTTTGCATAATTAATGACGCCTGTCAATATGTGCACGTTCATTTGGTAGAGGTCTCGTGCATTACATAAAAGCTTTTGACAGGAAATTGATTATTTCATTTTGATTCAACTATTGAATTTAACCATTTTGA